GTAAGTATTAATAGTTATTTTTAGCAACTATCAGCAATAGATCTTATGTATTTTCTCATCAAATATTGAATAAGATGTTAGAAAATTTCAAACACTAAAGGCCAAGTGCACAAATTTGTGCATGGGTGGGGTCCCTCAGCCTGGCCGGTGATTGGGGCCAATCGGGGCTGTCTCACCCAGTCCCAATCAGCTGATCTGGGCCAGCTGGCCCGGGGGAGGGACTGTGGGAGGTTGGCCCGCCAAGGAGGTTGGCTGTGGGAGCGCACTGACCACTAGGGGCAGCTCCTGCATTGAGTGTCTGCCCCCTGGTGGTCCATGCACATCATAGCTACTGGCTGGTCATCCAGTCATCTGGTTGCTTAGGCTTTTATATATATATATATATGAGGTAAATGTACTGTTAATAATAAATTTAGACAAAGAAAATACAGTAAAAATCTAGAGCAATTTTACTAATGAACATATTTTTTAAAACCTCAGCAAAAGAGAAAGAATAGCAAATATAGCAGTATTTAATAAAAATACAGCAAGAACAAGTGGAATTTATTACAGGAATATAATACTGGTATGATAGAAAATGTATTATCACAACTGCTCATATTAATAGGGTCAATGAAAGAAATAATATAATCAGCACAATAAATGCATGAAAAGCAGTAAAAAATGTCATGCATATTTATGATAATAGTTCTTACCAAATTAGATGGGAGAGTTTGTTTTTTTAATTTAAAAAAATGTCTATTAAAAGTTGCTATTTAATGGTGAAAATTTAGATATATTCTTATTTAGGTGAGGGATTATCCCTATTATTTAATATTGCACTAGAGGTTTTAAGCAAAGCTACAGTATTTAAATTGGAAAGAAACATGCAAAATATTTGGTATTTGAAAATAGTAGAGTTTTTATAAGACTAAAAAAAATAGTATGGTAGAATAACACATGCAATTTGTATTATGAACAAAAAGTATATGGTATTTGGGAATACGTTTAACAAAAGTTGTTCAAGACCTCTGTAGAAACAAATGATAAAACGTTACTAGACATCAAAACCCAAGATAAATATAGATATATATTATTTTGCTAACTTGGAAAGAACATATATTTTAAAGATGGCAATTGTACTCAGATTATTCTACAGATTTAATGAAATTCTAACCAATTACTAAAGGACATTTTAAATTGAAACTTGACTACAGACCCTTAGTTCATATGGAAAAGTAAGGAATATTCAAGATAGTTATAAATAAGATGAAAGATGAGGAAGAAGAAAAAATAAAGAGAATAGAAGGAGAAGTGAGTCACCTTTAAAAATAATGTCTGTAAAGCTAAAAACATAAAGTAATAAAAAAGCAGGGGTAGAAATTTGATAAGGATATGATCAGAACTCATGTAAATATGTGGTGTGGATGAAAAGGGGCCACATGCTAACCTGACTAGCTGAGGAAAGACCTGCATGGTAGCCTTGAAAACTCAGAGACCTAAAGTAACTACAAAGGATGGTCTGAAATTAATTAAAAATAGAGCTACCATTCGACCCAACAATCCCACTCTTGGGTATTTACCTGAAAAACTCGAAATCATTTATACGCAAAGATATAAACACCCCTATGTTCATTGCAGCATTATTCACTGTGGCCAAGAGTTGGAAACAGCCAAAGTGCCTTATGATAGAGGATTGGATAAAGAAGATGTGGTATATATACACAATGGAGTACTACACAGCCATAAGAAAGGATGAAATAGTGTCATTTACAACAACATGGATGGACCTTGAGTACATCATGCTAAGTGAAATAAGTCAAACAGAGAAAGCTAAGAACTATATGATTTAACTCATAGATGGCATAAAAAACTGAAACTTATGTACACAAACAGCAGTGCGGTGGTTGCCAGAGGGAGGGGACTGGGGGAAGGAAGGGGTCCTAATATGAGGTGACAGGAGAAGATTTGACTTTGGGTGGTGGGCACATGGTCCTATATACAGATTTCGTAAATTAATAATTCAAACATGTAACCTATATGTTCGTGTTGACTAATGTCACCCCAATAAAATTTAAAATAATTTTAAAAAAGCATAAAGAACAGCACCCCCCCCTCAAAAAAAACCAAAAACCCACATACAACCCAAAACAAAACTTTTTAATTAAAAAGTATTCTATGGTGGGTAGAATTTGCATATCGCCCTGATTAGCCAATGGGAAGGGTAGCGGAGGTACGGCTAATTACCATGTTTCTCTATTATTAGATAGGATATATATATATATTTTTTAAAGATATATGAGTATTGCTGATAGTAACAGTTGGACATTATGGAATACTTTTGCAATTAAAAGCCCTTAAAACAAAATTTAAACAAGCAAATAATAAAAAAATAAATACACAAATAAAACCACACCTAACTTTTAAAGAAAAATTGATTAGGAATGAATTTGCTTTTATTTTACAAATTTTACTTTAAAATGTTGTATTAGTCTGGGTTCTCCCAAGAATCAGAGAAT